GTCCCGTCCCGTCCCGTCATCTTTCTTGTACTCCCTCAGAGCCTGGCCACAAGAGGAGCAGCATGCATCTTCAAAGCCGGGGGCAGAAGAGAGAGGTTTTACAGGAGGCCAGATCATCTGAGCATGCCACTGGATCACCTGATCCATCGTCAGTTCTCCGAGGAGAGCACCTAATGAGCCAGCCTTCGGCAGCTGCTGCCTGCCACCTCTCCTGTCTCACCCCCAACCTCATCTCGCCCCCTATTGGCACCTCCTCCCTTCCCCTCAGGAATGGAATCCACCAAGGAGGTGCCCCCTTGCTCAGGGAGAGTCCTGCTGGGATGGGTATGGTGCCAGTGCCTGCACTGCACCTCCAGGCCAGTAGTCGGCGTTCACTGATGAGGTGTCTGTGGCCATCCCCTTTCTCTGGCCATCCCATGGAGTTAGAGGTGTATCTGCTGGAAACGACTCTCTTCTACTGCGGAGTCAAGTGGGCGGGATGAGGCTTGGCCCCACGAGCTGGGAAGGACCACCCTTAGGACTTGTGTCATCCGTCCACTCTCATGGCTGTCAAGTCTCAGGGTGAGGTGGAGCCCGTGCCCATCTTGCTGTCCTGGCATCTACCTTTCTCATTCTCTTCTGCCCCTGGCCTCTCACCCCAGAATGGTAAACTCCTAAGATTTGGTCTTAGGTACAGGAGAAAAGGGCAGAGCCAGCCTTCTCCCATGGAAGCTGGCTGTGGTGCAAGTCCATGTCCCCTGAGATCGGGTTTGGACTCACACAACACCCTGTGTGGTCTGGACCCGTCTCCTTCCCAGAGTCAGGGTTTGGGGCCAGAGACTTTAGTGACAATAAAGGATTACTTCACCAGCGTCCACTGTGCAAACATCACCCTCGGGCGCTGGGGACAGAAGGGGCCCTGGGTCTCTAGATCAAACAGAACCCATTTTACCACAGCAAACCACAAGCTGTCCCCAGCCTGCACTTCATGAGGACAAGTGGGACGACACATTACAACGCTCCTTTTATGAGGATCTCATCGAATAGTGGGCTCTGTGTTTTTATCCCATGCCCCCCTCCAGCCTGAGCATTTATGGAGAGATCTGTCCTTGCAATGGAAACCAATAACATCTTCACGTAGAACTTAACGGAAAAGAAACAAACTCCTGCTTGTTTCCACAGCTCGTGAAAACGGTAGAACAGGCTTCAGCCGAGGTTGGTGGGTCTGCCTGTGGTGGCCGAAACAGGGGTATAAGGAATGAGCCCCTGGGAAGGCATTAGAGAGCAGGTTGGGGGGGGGTACTGACACCAAGCCACTGAGAGTGAGAAGGGACGAAGGGGATGGGTAAAGACCATGAGATAGTGTGGGCGAACACTTCGCCAGGTCAGCCTGGAGAGAATCCTTTGTCTCTGCCACCCGACCCGGGAGGTGGCTGTTTTTTTTCCCTGTAGCCAAGCATGAAGTCACTGGAGCCATCTGTGTGTCTGTCTCACAGAGTGGATGTGTGGCCATAGACCAGGTCCTTCTCAGCTAAGCTCCACTTGAAGAACATGTCACAAGAGATGGCGCCCGGAGCCTTAAAGGGCTCGCCAGGAACTAGCCTGTGTTAAGGTGACCAACAAGGTGCGACTATAAATGCCACGTGTGCTTCGAAGCTGGATCCCTTTGCTAGAGAGGATGGAGAGATGGCTGACCTGACTGACCTCAGCTCTGAGAACAGGATGGCGGTCCTGGTCACCTGTTTTTCCCCTGCTTCTCCGGAGGCTGACTTCGAGAATGGCTTTGTGGCATCCTGTCGTTGCTGTTCGCCAGCGGCTCAGGACAAACAGTGATTTGTACCCATCTTACAACTTTTCTGTAAGTTGAAATCTCATCCAAGGAAACAAAGGAAAGTTTTTATTTTTTAAAAAATGCTTAGCAAGAGCATTTTCTTTGTGAATTAAGCTCCCTCAGGTTACCTACTAGATAGGCAAGTAGTAGCTAGATGATGGATGTAGCTATACAGATAGATGGCAATGAAATTACTGGAGTCCTTTATCTCCATTTCTTCATTTCTCTCTCCCTCATACCTGCCACCTTGCATCAGCCTCCAGATCTCCACCTAAATTGTTCTTGCCCTTGCAGATAGGAAATGCTCTCTCTTTAAACAAATTATATTTGATTCAAAAGCTTTTGAGTAGCACACATCTACAAAGCATAAACCGGATCAAAGTAGGCAGCCAGCCTTTTCATTCCCTTATCTCTTTGGGTTTGCAGCCTATCAGCTCCCGTCTCCTGGGTGACACCCATGCCTCAGTGCAGTGGAACATGGGGAACTGTGACTGGCATTTATCTGTTTCAGAACTTGCTGCTGCTCCTCTCCTCTCCTGCCCGCCCAACCTCCAGCCATCACTACTCTCTAACTTCCATATATGACAGACAGCATGTAGCACTTGCCTTCCTGTGTCTGGCCTATTTCGCTTCACATAATAATTTCCAGTTCCATCCATTTTGCAGGTCAAGTGTCGGAGTTTTATTCTGTTTTGCGATTGGTTAATAGTCTATTGTGTGCCCATATGTCATTAGTTGTCAGTACCACAATTTTTAAAAAGATATTTTATTCAAAAGGCAGATCAAAGAAAGAGATGGAGAGAATAGAGAGGAGGTCTTCCATCTGCTGGTTTACTCTTCAAACAGCCACAATGGCCAGAACTGAGCTGATCAGAAGCTGGGCGCCAGGAGCTTCTTCCAGCTCTCCCACGTGGCTTCATGAGCCCAAGAACCGGGACCATTTGTTGTTGTTCCCTCAGGCCAGCAGCTGGGACTAGAAACCATAGGACCCCTGGTCAGTGTGCTCTCTGGCTTTTGACTTCAGCTTCCTGCTAAGGTGGGGCCTCTGGGAGGCAGTGGTGATGGCACAAGTTATCAGGGTCCCTGGCACCCACGTGGGAGACCCGGATGGAGCCGGGGGCTTCCAACGCTGGTCTAGCCTAGCCTTAGCTACTGGTGGAACTCGAGGAGTCAACTAGGAGATATTCCGCCTCTCAAATGAACACGCAGGAAACTCGGGGAGGCCTGGGCTGAGGCCAGGCCTCAGAGGAGGAGCTGCCTGCCAAGCATTCCTTCTTCCTGAACAGACAACTCGAAGCGAACCAAGAACGAAGCAAACTGGGTTTCAGAATCAGAACATCCTAGCCAGCTTACCTTCAATAACAGGATTCGTCATGAAGAGCCCTGACTGTAGTTCTGAAGTCCCTATGATCTTGCAATTTCCCCAACGGCAACCCTTTGTCCTACCAGAGGCAGCCTCGGGGATCCACAGGGCTTTTGCAGAAGGCAGTGGTTTCTCCAGCTGTAGTGGGGGAACCTGGCTGGCCTGCAGCAAGGAGATCTAAGGCAGCGAGTATCTGATGGTTTTCTCTTCCCTGGGGAAGATCTCTACGTTTGCCCAGAACACACATGACGCAGCCAGCGTTATGGAATAGCATGGCGCCAGAGTGAGTCCTGACTATTCTATTTCTGATCCAGTTCCTTAATTGTTGCCTGGGAAAAGCAGCAGAGGACAGCCCAAATGTTTAGGACCCTGCCACCCATGTGGTGACCTGGAAGCTCCTGGCTTTGGCCTGGTCCAGTACTGGCCGCGCTGGCCTCCTGTGCAAATGAACCAGAGGGTGGAGATATTTCTCTCTCCCCTCATCTCTTGCTTTGCAACTCCTTCAAAATAAAGAAATCTTCACAAAGAGAAAATGGTGCTTCTAGGTTCTGCACGGCTCGTGTCACACCCACAGTGCGAGGACTGTGTTGGTCACGCAAGCAGGTACAGCTGGTGACAAGCTGCTAGGCAGGCAGTGGAGTTTGCCTCTCTCTTTCCCTAGTCCTTCTGCTAGCGCTGCTCGTCTGGCCTCGCCCTCCTGTGCCCCCAAACTATTTCCTCAGGGGGCTCCAGATCTGCTTCAGCCAGGAGCCATAGTCCTGCCTTTTATCCAGAACACGTGATGTGCCTACAATTGCTGTTCCAAGAGGGTGATGTTCTGGTCCATGTTCAAATGCAGTCATGGCCGGCCCGGTGGCTCAGTAGATATAACACAATGGTAAGGAAGCAGAACCTTTTGGTTATCTTGGCGTATTCTACAATCTGAAACTCAAAGCACATTTCAACAAATGCCTTGAGTAATGGAAGAAGTGAGAACGGACAGGGACTCAGAACTGCCTGCCAGAATACAGTCACTTGAGCAGTTAGAAAGGATGACGTTCCCTGTCGGTTCTGCCCTGTTAGGGGCTGAGTTGGGGTCAGTGTTGGGTTGGGGAGGTGTGGAGGGATGGCCCGTCTTCCCACTGGAGACGTGTGGTCTTGAGGCTGGCCACTCCACGTTCCCCTGGACAGCAGAACGGGCCCTTTGGCACGTATTACAATTTTGGCAGTCGAGTCCCGCTGAGCAGACCAGCAGCTCACTGCAGCTGAAGTGGGACCACAGCCACCTGGCAGTGGATCAGCCCACGCCTCACATCTAACTCCTAGCTGCCCTCCGCGTGCAGGCAGCGCCAAGCACGGGCATAGGCTGCCCAGGCGTCGCAGTGCAGTGTGGCCCCGGCCTGGAGGTTTTCAATGAGGCCCACCAGGAGTAAGCATCCTTTTCAACAGGAAGGTCCCTGGATCAGTGACCACCCGTCAGATCAGCCCTACCCCGAGGAACCCTTCGACCTCAGCGGGGGCTGACAGCAAAGTGGGGCCAACACGCAGCAGCGTCAGTCACCTGCAGTGCCTGAGGAACGAGCACTCTCTCCAGAGCCTGAGCCAGAATGTGCACTTCTGTCGTACTTCTGCACATTCAAGTTTAAGACACACTGATTTATCCGTGCTACCCCCCAACCACAGGCCCAGCTCAGTGGTGGCTGAGGGGAGGAGCTCTAGGAACAGGGACTCCAAATTCCACCAGCACGAGTCCTTCACTTCCAACCCTTATGTTGTGCACAGAAGGGAAGGCAAGGGGGAAAAAGAGCTCCCTGAGGCCAGGGGCTGACGATCCAGGCGAAACTCGAGTTAAAGTAGCAAATGACTTTTATTACAAAACTTAACGCCACTTACTGACCATTCAGTTTTCTAAAGACACAGGAGTAAGACGAGCCCTTGCAGGCAGGAAGAGCCATAGCTGTTTTCCCTACACCTGTGACGGAGATTCCTCACGGAGCTTCCTCGTGTCATCTTGCACGAGGCAAAGGACGCTGGCTGGAAGGCTCACGCACAATAAAGTCACAGTAACTTTAGAGCTATTGGGAGCTACTGGCTTGCACACTCTAGTCTGTGCCTCCGAGACAGACACCCCAAGCAAGCACTGCCACACGCCCGCTCCCAGCTCATTCTTACCATTAGGACTCTTTGAGATGGTCTTTGGAACCGAGTACATTCACTGAGTGCAGTTTATGTTTTTCCTGGAGCGCAAATCCTGTGACTCAGGCACAGTCTCCATGGTCAAGTGTGAGAGTTGGTTTCAGGGCAACCGAAGTTACTGTAGTGTTTCTTTGTGTCTCCGTAGTGGCTGGGCGGCCTGGCCAAGGGCAGCGCGGCAGGGGAACACGGCGTCCATTTCCCAGCCCACTGGCAGACAGCTCCCCGTTCCTTCTGGACGGCGCCCCACAGACAAGGCGGAAACCTGTATCAGTGACGAGCGTGGCCCATCTCCATTTGGAAGCTGTTCCCTTCCATAGCTGAATCCATTCCTTCGCCGCAATTCAGCAGCGCTTCCAAAAGGTATCAGGCACATTCTGAAGACAAAGCAGAGTAGTCAAAATGCTATTTTTTTAATAACAGACTATTTACTTAATTGCACATTCCTAACAGAATTTACAAGTATACTAGCAAAGACAAGCTGAAAATGGTTTACATTTTACAGTGGACTCTGTGTTTTCTCCCAGTAGAGTCACAAAAAGAACCCTCTTCAGTGAGGGCCCCACTGAGGCCCGAAGCTCTCGCAGGGCCACTGCTGGTGCTGGGAAAGCTCCAGTGGAGGCGCCTCATGTGCTTGACTCCTTCACAAGCTCGCGCACCTCCCAGAATCGGAACAGCAGCGCCAGTAGGGCCAGGTCCCTGGTGCGGAATTAGCGCCCTGCTTGGGGTGCTCATCTCTCGTGTTGAGTGCCTGGGTTCAGACTGTGGCTCTGCTTCTCACACCAACCTCCTGCTGACGTGCACTCTGGCAAGCAGCAGCTGGACGTCTTGGCAGCTGGACCCCTGCTGCCTGTGTGGGAAACCCAGACCGAGCTGTGGTTCCTGGCTTCAATCTGCTTTAGCCCTCGCTGTGCAATGCAATTGAGTTGTTGCTATCTAGCAGATAGAAGATCTCTATACACCTTAAAAAAAGGTGGAGGGGTTAGGGTGGGACTACATTGTTCCAGCTGCTTCACTTTTTTTAAAAAGATTTATTATTTTTATTGGAAAGGCAGATATATAGAGAGAAGGATATATAGAAAGATCCTCCATCTGCTGGTTCACTCCCCAAATGACTGCAATGACCGGAATTGAGCCAATCCAAAGCCAGGAGCTTTTTCCGGGTCTCCCACGTGGGTGCAGGGTCCTAAGCCTTTGTGCCATCCTCAACTGTTCTCCCAGGCAACAGGCAGGCAGCTGGATGGGAAGTGGAGCAGCTAGGACTAGAACCGGTGCCCACATGGGATCCTGGTGCATCCAACGCGAGGACTTTAGCCATTAGGCTACCATGCTGGGCCCTGCTGCTTCACTTCTGATCCAACTCCCTGTTACTGTGCCTGGGAGAGCAGCTTAAGATGACCACAGTGCTTGGGCTCCTGCTACTCACGTGCGAGACCTGAGCAAAATTCCTGGCTCCTGGCTTTGGCCTGGCCCAGCCTGGCCATTGTGGCCATCCGGGGAATGACCCAGGGATGAGCAGAGCCTACTGGCCATGAGGCAGGGCTGTGAGCCCACTGCAACTATCTACTTAGAGCTCTGGAGGTCTCTGTCTCTAGCTGGATGGCGCCTGACTGCTCAGCAGAGCTCGGGCCATGCTCCTGGGCCCCTCTCCATCACCACTTTGGCTGAATGTCATGTTGCAGTTGCAATCGTATATTAGCCAAAGTCCGGGACAGGGACTTGACGCGATTTCAGGGCAGGCCTTTCATTGGACTTCCACCCCGGTGTCCACCCATCGTCCCAGGATGGTTTCTAGAGCAGCAGCTCTTGACAGTGTCAACGGCCAGCTCTGCCACAGGAAGACCGAGGCGCTCAGACACAAGGCAGTGCCAACTGACTAACCTAAGTGAAAGCGATTCCCACCAGGACAGAGTCCACCTGCTGTGAAATCAGCTCAGTAGACAGTACATATAGTACACTCAGTAGACATACAGTTTGACCCCCAACCAGGGTTTCTCCCTTTCTCCTCTGTTCTACACATCTAAGAGTGAGGAACCAACGCTCCTGACAGGGTGGCTGACCTTAGGAGGCGTCCTGGGACGGGGCCGGGGGGTCCTGGCTCTCGGGCTCCGGCGGGGGCGCAGGCACCGCTTCTTTCTTCTGGGCTGCCAGGAACTCATGGATGGCTCGTTCAATCTGGGGTCTGAAGATGTGGTTTAGCTTTGGATCTACCACCTGAGAAATAATCCTGTCTACCCCGGCCTCCAGCATCCCTGACCTGTGGGGACAGACAGAGCAGGTGTTACCGAGTTCCTCTGAGCTGCATCTTCTGCCCTCATACATGACAGGGAACACTCAGTAAGCGTCTCATGCTCCAAGTCACCCTACTCCTGGGTCTTTCATTTGCCAACATGCAGCTCAAACCACTTGATCTTCCCTTTCCCGGAGGTAACTCACAACCTGTAGGCAGTCACCAGTCTTCACTCACAATGTCGTACACTGCCTCCTAAACTCCATAAAGAAGAACCAAATAAAACTAAGGACTGGCCCGAAGGCAAACCAAGTGGGAACCACAGGTCTGTCCAGAGGGGCGATCCCTGAAGCCAGCGAGCCTGGGACCCAGCTTCCACATCCCCCACAGCCAAGCAGAAGCCTCCAGAAAAACACTGGTCACCACCCTCAAGCCTGTGGACGCAAGGGAACCTCGGACAGTCTATGGAAAGACCCAACTAAAATAAGTTTACCTTAGTTAAAAAATTTGAAATCCATGTATAATTTTTGTAAAATATTTTTTTTTTTTAGAAACTTTGACAATTGCAGATGCATGGATTTTAAGCCTTTTTTGGGGCACCAAAATAAGCACCTTCTAATTCTAGTTTCCATGAACCCTTTGAAGGATGCCCAGGGGACACGTATCAGGGATGGGGGGATGGGGGCACACATCTGCGACCCCACGGGGCCTCCTGCTCTGTGATCGCTCAGCACACAGGAGGTGACCTGCAGGCGGGTAAGAAAACAGACACACTGGTGCGAAACTCCTGCAGGCGAGAGTCTAAGGGCGCCTGAAAAAGGTCATGGAAAGCAGAGTTAAAGATGAGTTTATTTTGCTAAAAAGTTTTTTTTTTTTCATGGCCTATAAAAAATGCTTATGATAAAAAAAATATATATATATACAGATTTCAAAACTGTGTGCACACCAAAAATAAATTCCTACTTTTTAAAAATCTGCTTTTAGTACTTGTGGAAGTGCTGGCCTACATCCACAAAGCCCTTCAGCAGGAGAGCAAAGATGGGTGTAAACCGACTAACATCTGTATTCAAACACTTGGGGCAGCCTAATGAGGCCGACTCTGGTGACAGGAAACAGAGCCCGTGCAAAGAGCTTGGGAAGCAACCGTACGGGCTCAGGCTCAAGTGTTCTCTCAAACGACTCAAGTGTTCAAACGCTGCCGATGCCACGTGGACGGGCTTTGCTCCTCTTCCTTTCGTCTGCAAGTTCTCAGGCCGCTCAAGCCTTTGCCTGGCTGAGAATCAGTCCTCAAGTGGACAAATGGTGTCAGGGAGCAGTCAAGGCAACAGATGGGAGAACGGGCAATGTGACAAGGAAGACGAGAAACAGGCCCGGAACTGGGAAAGCCGAGAGAGTGTGAAGTGCTTCCTGGGATCGGAGCGAGCTAACAGCTTATCAGCAGGAAGTCGACATGTAAACAGAACCCCATTAGAAGGGGCACCCCTTTTAAGCAGGCCACGCATTAGATACTATGATGAGCACCACCAAACGCAGCCAGGTCAGCAGCAGGCTGGGGATCCATCCCCGAGTGGCACAGTCCCCTCTCCTTAGTCACCACAGCCTTCCCATGTTAGCAAACCATTTCCTGTGTAAGGGGGCCCACGCACTGCTGACCCCCAGTCCCGCGGTGGCCGGACCGAGCCTCCCTGGGCACCACCCTGGCGCTCGCTGCCCCCTCGGCTGGCACTCACTGGACCACGCTCTGCCTCAGGCCGTTCCGCAACTGGTTCTTGTTCATGGTGGGGTTCCACTCTTGCTTATCCAGGTGCGTTGACACGAAGTTATCCACCTTCTGCCTCAGGTTCTGGTAGGCGGGCTGAAATTTCAAGAAGCGATGGTCAGAAGGCACGGCTGCTTCTCACAGTAACGGCTGTTTTCGAGTGTTAACCCTCCCGTCGTGACAAACGCAGCAAGGCAGACACTGCTTAACAACCAACACAAGGACCGCTGTGTGGCAGGTGGGTACAAGATATATTACACAAAAGTACACACACAGACTCCAACTTTCCTTTACCTTTCAGTGCCATTTTTTCCCATGACCCTTGAGAAGCACCGTCACATTTTCCCATTCATTTTTCACTTGATCCTAGCCAAAAGGCTGAGAAGTGAGTCCCCATTCACTTTCAAGTCCCTTTCCAAAGGAAGCTACCGGGTACTGCTGCTACCCACGAGAGTCAGAGATCAGAATGTTGGGCTTGGAGGAACTGGATGTGAACCACTGTGAAAGGGATGCGACAAGGATGTTCCTAAAGGAGCCGGAGAGGCCCTTGGTGGTCCATAATGTTCCAGGTCCAAATACAAACACGACAACAAAATTACGAAGGGGTGCAGGCGTGACGCTCCGGGCCCGACGCTGCTCCTTGCTCCTCCCAAAGCTGCTGTGCCAGTGTGGCCTGGTGTTCAGCACTGCACTCCTTGTTCCCTCGCACACGGGCCCAGGACACACTGGTGTAGGGATGTGAGTTCTTGGGGCCAGCTGGGCTGCCAGGCCTGGCTCCCCGACTCTCAGAGCATGCTCTGGGTAGGTATTCCCCTGCCAGCTGGGGGCCTGGGATGGCCACATGTGCAGTCACTCCAGTTCAAGCCATGGGCTGCAGCCAAACCCGGGCAACCTACAGCAGGCAGCTGGGCCACCCAGCTGAGGTCTATGGAGCTCAGCTCAACTGTGGCTGACCTACGGCCCTGTGAAAGCGAGGGCAAAGGTTTGGTGGAAGAGGCGGTTGGTAAGGCAGCTCAGTTTGCTAATAGGAAAACGACCCGGAAAAGAGAAGCATCGGCCTCAATTCTACAAGCGGACTCTTGCGCAAGGCCTCGGGAATAGTCTTTCACCCGCTCCCTTTCTCTGGACCTGGAAACAGGAAGTAAGGAGACGGTCAACCCCACCTACCATCTGCCAAAACGTGTTCCTCATCTTGCCAAGTGGCCAGGTGGCACCCCGTCTCTGGGACACGGGGATGGGTGTCAGGTACCATGCAGACATTCCTCGGGATATTCAGGGAGAGGCTACACCATGCAGCCAAGAGGCAGAAGTGACCAGCCGGAAGACTCAGCCCCGCAGTGAGAGCCGCGGTCAGGGCTGACCACCGGCAGTTCCCACGCGTCCCCGCACAGTGTGCTTTGCTCACTGCTTTCTCGGGCTTCACCGGACATTGCTAAAAGGAGTTAGAAGCCACTTTGTCAGCTGCGGCCCTGAGACGACACCTCCTACCTTTCGAAGCCAACTCACCTGGTCTGAGACAGAAATCATTTGCTGAGTGAGGACAGAGGACAGTGAACCCAAATGCCCAGGCGACACAGCACAACGCCTTCCGTGCCAGAACTCCCAGGAATCTCACTGACTAGGCCCACCAGCCCTCCCCTTGTATGCGTCCTCCCTCTACCCCAGCCGAGCATGCACTGGAAATAACCAACATCCTCTCTCTCCTCTCCCAGAAGCACTTCAGAGAGAAACCACCTGTATTTCTAACAGGTTCCCAGGTGACGCTGCCCTCCACCTAAAACAGGTCCAGGGGCAAGGCCTCTGGGTAACTGCCAAAAGCAACAGCTGAGGCAGCGCACAGCGGGGGCAGGGAAGCCAAGGAACAGAGTCTCTACACTGTATGAAAATCACACGCATGCGTGAAGCCACACAGATCCTACCAGAATAGCAGACATGAGAGCACAGAACTTGCCAGAGAAGCTGAGAACCCAAGAGGCCAGAGAAAGGGTTAGGTTCTAGGCACGGGAACCTGAGCCCACTCAACAGGGCATTTGAGACAGGATTGCCCACCTGGGGTTCTCACCCCGGAGGAGGACACAGTGCACTGCCTAGATTCCCGCTGGCCGGCTTCCAGGATCACTTCTGCCACTTCCGGAGCAAGCGTGGGGCACGGCGCAGGGAAGCACCTGTTCCTGCGACCACAGTGCCAGATGCATTCTGGGACAGTGGAAAATCAGATGGGCTCTTTCTCTAATTTCAACATATTAATAAGCTCACAAGCTTGTTGGGAGGAAGGCAGGCTCAGAGCAGCAGTACTTTTTCTTAGCTATTTTAATTTTTTTTTTTTTTTAAGTTAAGGAGAGAGGAGAAGAGACAGGGAATTCTCCCATCTGGCTGGTTCTCCAACACAGGGTCAGAGCTAGGCAGAAGCCAGGAGCCTGCTCCGGGTCTCCCATGCGGGTGCAGGGTCCCAAGGCTTTGGGCCATCCTCTACTGCTTTCCCAGGCCACAAGCAGGGCGCTGGATGGGAAGTGGAGCAGCCGGACACGAACCAGCATCTATGTGGGATGCCAGCACTGCAGGAGGTGGCTGAACCTGCAAGACCACAACCTGCCAAGCCTACAACCATTTTGTCTTTTTAGACAAGCTGTGGAAAGGGCGCCCAGCGGGGTCTGGGCAGGCATGCTGGGCACCCTAATCTAACTCCCTGGCTCTCTCAGCGGTGTTTAACATTTTCAGGTGGGTTTGTTCCGGAGGGATCTTCACTGGAACCCTCCTGGGCAGACCAGGGAGTAGATTCGAAAGCCGGTACAAGACAAAGCGGCAGCCCTGGAACATCACAGCTGGCAGCGAGGGGACCCCGCGCGTGCAGCCCTCGGCGGGGTCAGCTCTCCCGGCCCGGCGGGGTCAGCTCTCCCAACCCCGGCCCTCACCCGCACAGCCCCCGGCAGGGTCAGCTCTCCCGGCCCGGCGGGGTCAGCTCTCCCGGCCCTCACCCGCACAGCCCCTCCGGCGGCCCGCGCTACCTTGGTGTCCACGTCGGCCAGGCAGTCCCGGCGGAAGCTGTCAAACAGACCCCGACTCTTGAGCTGCTCTACAATCAGGGCGATGAGCTGGGGGTCCCCGGGGGGCAGCGAGGCCGGGTTGATGGGGCCGCCGCTCCCGCCCGCCCCCGCCGCGCCCGGGGCCGCTCCGCCCGAGGCCGGGCCCGCTCCGCCGCCCACCGCGCCCGCGGCCCCCGCGCCGCCGCCGTCCGCCATGGCCCGCGGGGGACGCCAGACACGCCAGGGAAGGCGTGCGGGGCGCAGAGGTCGCAGAGGCCGAGGCGGACGTTCCCTCCAAGGCGGCGAGGGAAGCGGCAGCAAGGGCGGCCGCGGGGTGGGCAGCAAAGGCGGCAGGTGCAGGGGCTGCAGAGATGGGGGCGGAGGCAGGCGCGGGCCCTGGCGCGCTCCCGATGGCGTCACCTTCTCCCTTGGCATTGTGGGGCCGGTGGTTTTCCGCAGCCGGCCTCAGCGCTTTTATAGGAGCCAAAGCTGGTCTAGGAAGACTACAACTCCCGGCAGGCACCTGGCTGCGGCGCGCGTCCGCGGGGGGCAGTGTGGGGATTGTAGGCGGACTGGCCTCCTCCGCGTGTGGCTCCCGCGCGCAATCACGGCCTTATCAGCAATGTCTGACTATAGAAATCAGCTGTGGAGCTCCTTGAACGTACCAGGGGGCGGGCGCATCCCTTCCAAGGCTGAGATTCAGAAACGGGAGGTGGGGGCCCAGAGATCGCCCGCTCCTTCCAATGCCCTGAGCGATGAGGCGCGGAGAGTGTGGGCGAGCGCGGGCTCGCCCTGTTTCCATGACTGTCTGACTGTAATCGCCATCAAAGTTTTTAGGAAGTTGGTCGAGTAACAGCAACAGCGCAAAGAAAAGTTTCCCTTAATTTTCTCACGTGTGTGTGACTCCCCTCTCAGATAGTTAATATTGCCAGTCATCTTAAGATTGTTCCATAACTGGAATGGGCACGTGACATGCTTTTTTAAAAAAAGATCTATTTATTTTTACTCCAAAGTCAGATTTATGTAGAGAAAAAGAAAGATCTTTCATCCACTCATTCACTCCCTAAATGGCCAAAACTACCCGAGGTGAGCCGTTGTGAACCCAGGAGTTTCTTCCAGGTCTCCTGTGTCGGCGCTGGGTCTCCAGGACCTGGGCCATCCTCCGCTGCTTTCTGCAGGCCATAAGCAGGGAACTGGATCAGAAGTGGAACAGCCGGGACATGAACCAGAGTCCCTGTGGGAGGCCAGTGCCTGCAGGTGGAGGATTAGCCTGCTGAGCCACCACCCCACGTAGTACTTTTTAACAAAAGAAATAAAAGGAGGTTCATGACTTCCCCGGATCACATACCCTGCAGGTGGAAGGGTTTTGACTCCAGGTTTCCTGAATCCAAATCCCATGTTTGTTTCTAAGGAAGGCCACTCCCTGAGAGGTAGCTGGTAATTACACCATAGGTAACACTTCGAAGCAGCGTGTCTTTTACGAAGAGCCACAGTTCACGGTGGGAGACTGAGAGCTGCCACCACTCTCCTCTCTTCCCTTTATTTTGCTCCTGCAGCTGACCCAGCCTTGGTTGCTCATCCCATATCAGCCATGGGGGAGGAGGCACATCCTAGGTTCTGCAGTAGCCCTGGCTCCTGGGAAGGTGGGGTACAGGCCCAGGACCCCGAGCTCCCCGCGCCATCAGGCACCACTCGCCACGGCGGTAACCCTGAAGGTGGGGTACAGGCCCAGGACCCCGAGCTCCCCGCGCCATCAGGCACTACCCGCGGTGGCAGTAACCCTGCGCGTGATGCGCTGGTGTTGGCACGCTGCCCCTCGGTTAGTGCCTCAGTCAATGCAGGCTTCTCTCTGTGGCTCACTACCCTGGGAACGCCTGGTCTTGGTCTGTTGGGAACCCCCCCACCCCTCCTTCCTGCTGCCTCACCCCACGTGCCTTCTGCAAGCGCCCCTAGCCCCCCAACCAGGCTCCTGGCCATTGCTGACCACTGCTATGGATTCTGTCCTCAGAAGACAGCTGTCACCTCCCAAAACAATCTCATCTCCTCTCGTGCTGTGCATCCTTGGAGTGTCTTCCTCCCTCTCTTCCTCTCTTTCTCTTTCCTCTCACTTTCTCTCCTCTTTCTCTTTCCTCTCACTTTCTCTGTCTCTCTTCCTCCCTCCCTTCCTTTTCTTTCCTATTATTATGACTGTGGGGGGATAGGCTATAGTCTAACAGCTCCCCCCACCCCTGCCCGGGGTCTCCTGCTGGACCAATGGTTAGGACATGTTCAGTGCTGTGTCTCCATCCCTTAACATAATTTTCCTGCTTAATGTGAAAGTCAGTGTTCTTGTCTGCTAGCCACGGGATAGGGGGTGTGTGTGCGTGCGTGTGTCTTGTCAGTGGTGGGTGAGCTGTAACTGTGATCTTTAGAAAGCTGCAGTGTGAGTAGAGCAGGTGGAGGTGGGCAGCAGCTAGTTCAGGCTGTGGTGGCAGGCTCGCTGTCTAGCAGGATGGCCTTGTGACCTGGCCTGACACGCTGAGCCTTGTAAAGTGGCTGTAAAGTGAGGTTGAGCTGGCTGCCCTCCCACCCCATCCAGCTACATGCTATACCCAAAGCTGGGCAGCAGAGGGCGCCGTTGCTACAGGAATCGTTCAGAGCGGCTGGGCTGCCTGGACAGATGCTGACTTTGGCCTTGGGAGGCCTTTGCCGCTTCAGATTCAGCTGTGTCCAGGGGCCTGAGCCCGGTGAAGGAAACGCGGAGGCGCAGAACCTTCTTCACAGGCTCACATGGCAAAAAGAAATGAGACGCATAGGTTGCCAAGCAGCATGGGCAAAAGCAGCCAAATGCATGGGCTTTTCGCATGGGGTGGTGCCGGGCTGCAATTCCAGCTCTGTCGCTTCATGGTTGGTGTGACTGGGAATGTCCCGTCACCTCTCTGAGCCTTGCTCCCCTGGATGGTGACAATATCCCAGGCACCTTGTCAACTCCGGTGTGGTGGTGCAGTGGGTCGAGCTCCTCCTGTGGTGCCAACACCCAATACCCCAGTGCTGGTTCGGGTCTTCTCTTCTGCTTCTTGTCTAGCAAAGATGGCTTGAGCAGCTGGGCGGGCGCCCGCCACTCCTGTAGGACCCCGATGGAGTCCCAGTTCCTGACCCGGGCCTGGCTTGACAATGGCTATTGTGGTCATTTAGGGAACCTCTCTGATCTTTCTCCATGGTTTGACTCGTTGGTGCAGACCCTGGAGAGTGCAATGATGGGAGCCCGGACTGAGTTCCCAGTGCCCAGCGTCCACCCGGCCCCACCCTGACTGCAGTGGGCAGCTGGCCAGTGAATGCCGAGATGAGAGGCCCTGGGGTCGGTCATGATGGGACCAAGTTTAAAACCAGAGACGATATTTTTTCAAATATTTATTTATTTTTATCGGAAAGTCAGATATATAGAGAGGAGGAGAGACAGAGAGCAAGATCTTCCATCTGCTGATTCACTCCCCAAGTGGATGCAACAGCTGGAGCTACGTTGATCCGAAGCCCGGAGCCTCTTGGGGTCTCCCATGCAGACGCAGGGTCCCAAGGCTTTAGACCGCCTTCTATTGCTTTCCCAGGCCACAGGCAGAGAGCTGGATGGGAATGGAGCCGCCCAGATGGGATCCCGGCACATGCTAGGCTAGGACTTTAGCTGCTAGGCTACTGCACCGAGCCCTGGAGCCAAATTTTGACGTTGTTGTTGTTGTTCTTGCCCATGTGGGTCCACGCTGGTCTGTGTTAGCCTTATTTGGGCAGAATATGTACATTTTAAAGGCCTTGGACAAAAGGCCATGAAGGACGGTCTGTTTTACTTCCCAGTGGACCCTTCTCCATTCTCTCTCAAGTTACATTGGGCCAGGGAGGACCAGGAAGGCCTGTGTCTGGGTGTCTGGGTGCAACTTGGTATGTATGACCAAGGTGTCATTTTCAAAATGTGTTGGCATTTATTTAAAGGGAAGAGTTACAGAGGGAAGCAGGGAGAGAGAGAATCGTCTGTCTGAAAGTTGACCCCCAAGTGGCTGCACACCAGGAGCCTGCAGCTACCTCCAGGTCTCCCACATGAGTGCAGAGCCCTTATCCCCGGCTGTCTGCTTCCGTTTTCCCAGGCACATTCTTAGGGAGCTGGATTGGAAGTGGAGCCTCTGGGACTCGAACCTCTGCCCAGATGGGATGCTGGCGTCACACATAGGCGGCAGTTTAAGCTGCTGTGCCACGGTGTCGGTGCCCACGTGGTAGCGAGGCCGGGTCAGGGTCTAACAGAGGTCTTGTGAGGTTTTTCAGAGGGCAGGGTACACTGCGTGTCTGCGGAAAGGCAGCTGACATTCTTAGGCTCTGGGGAGAGGCGAGGGAGACCAGCAGGTGGCGCTAGCCCGGACATGCTGATGGAGGACACCTGCTCCTAGGCCAGGTTCCATCCCCTCCCCACCGCTGTGGGCGACGGCTGCTGTGCAAGGCACACAGGTGACTTCTTCCTGGTGGACACGCCAAGTTGACAAGTCCAGGGTGCGACGGATCCCCGGCTCAGTGCATGAGAGCTGGAATCGCAGCCAGGCCCCTCTGCCGCTCCAACCCTGAGCGCCTCCTTCCACCCTCATTCCGTACTTGATCATGGACTGGGCTGGGATCCTGACCCTGCTACCACTCAGCAACCTGCAAAGCCCCCTTTCAGTCTTTTTGGGATTTGCTTCTTTGCTTGAAAGTCACCACTGCACAGAGAGAGACACCTTCTGTTTGTTGGTTCAGTACCCAGGTGGCCGCAGCAGCCAGACCGGGGCCAGGCCACAGCCAGGAGCCAGGAACTTCATCCAGGTCTCCCACACGGGGGGGGGGGGGGGGCTGGGGTCCCAGCACTTGGGCCATCCTCCGGGCCATTAGGCAGCAGCTGGATGGGAAGTGGAGCGGCAGGGACGTGAACCGGTGCCCACGTGAGATGCCGGTGCTGCAGGTGGCAGCTTTGCCAGCACTACAGTGCCAGCCTTGCCCTTTCAGTCTTGTTCTTAGAGGCCCTTCTGCACCTGCTGTTTCTCACTGAGAGAGTCCCAGGCCTCCCTGACCTGTGGTCTACCCTTCCCGTTCCCTCCACCCTTCGCCCCGACCCCCAGCGCTTGCCCAGGGAATGCCCAGTGCTCCCCAAGTCAGCTCCCTTGAGCCAGCTTGTTCTGAACTCAGCTCCATGCCCACCTTGGCATCTCCAGAATCAAGCACATCCTCTCAGCAGGTCCCTCCTCCCAGTGAAGACAGGAGTGGTTAACAAGCATTGCTTCCTTGG